CGTTACTATATATATATATATATATATATATATATATATATGTAATCAAGTTTTGTTATGATCATATCAAAACTTATCAGAATTTGATGAAACTTGAAACTTTGCAAGTGTCCTTTGTGTATCCCAAACTACCATAGAGGTTACCCAGTTTTAGGCTTATTTTTGTTGCGTTCCCATGGTCTGGCAGTGTCTTGGGTACCAGCAAGACCAGGTTGCTACTGGCTTTCTCCTTATTCGTTCTGAGGATACAAGTACATAAAAAATGACATTTAACAATAATTTGGTATAAGTTTTACGTATGATTGGAAGCTGGATGACATGTGTTTTGAGGTTGAAAATGGCATACTTTTCCAGTCGCCGGAATCCCATTTTTTGATGACTTTCGAAAATTGGAATATGCTCAAACGAAGACCAAAATGGATGAAATTTATTGCAAAATGACCGTGATTGTATCCCTTTCATTTTGTGATCAAAATGAAGGTTTGGAACGTCATAGATCGTGCCAGATTGGTGGTCGAAGAATCACAAGTTTATGGAACTTGGCCGGATTTTGGGTTCTTCCTAAAAAATCCGTTCCAAGACGATCAAAGGGTATCAAAATGTGCACAAAAGTTAAAGCATCGATTATACTATGATTGATTGCCCGAATTACGATCATAAGCATCTGAAAAGTTTTTTGAGGCCTAATAATGGCAAGTGGCCCCTCATGGAAGGATGGTTTTCTTATTTTTTTAAAAGTGCTTAGGGGAATTTTTATTATTTGATCCAAAAAAAAGATTAATATTTTAATTCATAAAATGTGTAATTTTTTTACAATTTTGAATGTTTTTTAGTATTCCACCCTTGTTTAGTGGTTGCTCTATATAAAGAAACCCAAGTCATTTGTAATATCTCTCGTAGTCATTTGGAGCTCTTGAACTCTCTTGAATTCTAAGTCATTTGCAATCAAATTCTTACTTATTCTTTTGCTTTCCTTTCAAGTTCAAGACTTAAGATGGGAGGAGAGAGAAACATTTCTTAGAGAGAGAAAATACCCCTAGGACCCCTCACTCGCTAGAGCCCCCAAAGTTCCAACGACTGTAGGATCCCCAACTCCCAATCCCATACTCCCTAGAACTTCTAGCTTCCATACACCTTAGAACTCATAGCTTCCAGTCCTACTCCATACACCCTACACCCTATATTAGTTATCCTACACCTTAACCTACACCCTACACCATAATTTACCATTCACCTTAGTTTCTATACCCCACTCATGAACCGAACTTACATAAAACATACACCTAAGCCTTGGACCTTAGTCTTGACCCACAAAGACTAAGACCTTTCTCTCTCATGTGCATACAAAGAGACTGATGAAGATGCACTTAGGCTCAAGCTCATTCTAGGTCCACTCTCTCTCCTCTCTCTCTCCCTTTCACTCTCTCTTTCTTTTCATTCCCTTTTTCTCTCTTCCTTTCCCTCTCTTCTCCTTCTCTTTTTCTTTCTCTCTCTTCTCTCTTTCTTTCTCTCTTTTCTCTCTTTCTTTCTCTCTCTTTCTTTCTCTCTCCTCTCTCTTTCTCTCTCTTGCTCGGACCTAGGGAGGGTCCGAGCACCCCATCCTCTTTCTTTCTTTCTCTCTTTCTCTTTTCCTTGTTATACGTCATTTTTGACGTACTTACATCTCCCACACGAATAAAGAGAGAGCTGGTAACAACTTGGTCATGCTGGTACTCAAAATATTAATAGACCAAAGTTGTGCCACGA